AAAGGGATGAGGATGATTTGATTCATATTTTGAAAGATCACTGGTAGATTTAAATCTTTACATTTAAGAAATATATATTTTTATTGATTTCAGAGAGGAAGAGAAAGGGAGAGAGAGATAGAAACATCAATGATGAGAATCATTGATCAGATGCCTCCTGCATGACCCCTACTGGGAATGGAGCCCACAGCCCGGGTATGAGCCCTGACTGGGACTCAAACCGTGGACTCCTGGTTTATACAGGAGTCATAGAACCGTAAGACAGATGGGAAGCAGAATAGCATAGAGTGCACAAAGTCTATGAGGTATGAAAATGCCGTTGGCTCCATCCAGTGGCTAGGGCTGGGAGTTGACAGTCAAGCGTTTAAAGGCAAGCCAGAAACTGAAGAATAAATAAACGGAGACCTAGGACACACACACACACACACACACACACACACACGGAGAGGGAGGAGGAAGGAGAGGGAATATACATTTCAATAAATTTTAACCTTTGTTAAATAATTTTCTGCCAAGTAAAATGCACGAGGGAAATTACTAAATTACCCTGCTTTCTGTCCTTGTTTCCATCCTCTCCCGTCTTTCTCTATGTGTTAAGGGTCCGGATGCTCTTGTGCCTTGGCCTGATGACCATGGCTCAGCGATGAGTGGATATCTCTTTCTGTCTATCAGTTGTTATTAACCAGTCATAGAGTGTTTTTGGTTTTTCGCCCTTTTGGTACCATCAAAGCCATAAGAGGTTTTTTTATTGAGTGCTGAATTCATACCTAATCTGAGACGTTAGGGTGGACATTTTAAGGGATTAAGCAAAGAAAAAACAGAAAGACTCATAGACACAGATAACAGTGTGGTGATTGCCAGAGGGGAAGGGGGATGAGGGAAAGTACACAAAGGTAAAGGGGGGAAAATGGTGATGGAAGAATACTTGAATTGCAGTGGTAAACACACACTACAAGATACTGATGGTGTATTGTAAAACTGCATACCTGAAACCTGTATAATTTTATTAACCAATGTCACCCCAATAAATTCAATTTTTTTAAAGAGTAGAAACAAAAACAAAGTAACAAGTGCTGGTGAGGATGTGAAGAAATTTGGTGGGAAAGTATTTGATTGTCTAACAACTATGCTGCACACCTGAAACTAATACAAAATAGAATGTAAACTGGCATTGACAATTAAAATAAAAAAAAACAGTGTAGCCATTATGAAAACAATATGGCGGTTTCTAAAAAAATAAAAATAAAATTACTATATGAGGGGAAAAAAAGCATCCTATCTAATAAAAGAGAAAGATGGTAATTAGCATACAACTGCTACACTTCCCATTGGCTAAACAGGATGATATGCAAATTAACTGCCAGCCAAGATGGCGGCCGGCAGCCAGGCAGCTTGAAGCTAACATGAGGCTTGCTTGCTTCAGTGACGGAGGAAACCAACGTTCCCCACCTGCCTTGCCAGCCTCTGAGCTTGCAGTTTGGAACATAGTTACAAATATAGAAGGTAAACAAAACCCCAGAAACCTGCTTTCAGCAAGCTGGGATCTCAGAGGTGGAGTTGATATAGTGTTTCGATTATAGAACACAAACAAACCAGATACCTGCTTTCAGCAGCAGAGGCCTCAGAGCTGGAGCCAGAGCTAAAGCTGGCCCAGAATAAAAAAAAAGAAAGAAAAAAAGGAGCAGTTGGGAGCTTCAGTCACCCACCAGCCTGAAAACAGCCCTCAGCCCCTCACCCAGACTGGCCAGGCACCCCAGTGGGGACCCCCCACCCTGAAGGGTGTGTGACCAGCTGCAAACAGCCATCATCCCCTCATCCAGGCTGGCCAGGCACCCCAGTGGGGACAACCACCCTGATCCAGGACACCCTGCAGGCAAAACCAGTCAGCCCCCCCCCATGCACCAGGCCTCTATCCTATATAGTAAAAGAGTAATATGCCTCCCAGCACCGGGATCAGCGTGACAGGGGGCAGCACCTAAACTCCCTGATCACCCTGTGGCTCTGTGTGTGACAGGGGGCGGTGCCCCAACTCCCCAATCAGCCCTGCTCTGAGCCCGACCAGGGGCAGCACCTAGGGATTGGGCCTGCCCTCTGCCACCTGGGAGCAGGCCTAAGCCAGCAGGTCATTATCTCCCGAGGGGTCCCAGACTGTGAGAGGGCACAGGCCGGGCTGAGGGACCCCCCCCGCCCAAGTGCCCAAATTTTTGTGCACTGGGCCTCTAGTTACTATATAAAAAGCAAGCATTCTAGGCTAATGGCTGCTATGCTTTATCTTTTTAACCTAGTTATGATAAAGCATAGCCAAATTTGAGTATTGTAAATCATTTGACCTCCATCTTCTAGCCCAGTGAGTCTGTATGAAGTTCACTGTCAATAAGTACCATTTTTTTCTGCCATATCTTGTTTTACTTACAAGAAAAATCTCTGGAAAACTGAACGCAAACTATTACCATTTCCATATTGACTAACATGATAATTTCACAGGGCCTTTCTTTTGACTTATGATTGATTTAGACTTGGCAATGAGCTTGACACAAGTTTATTTTTACCTCTCAGACTGTTAAATAATTACTTATCTGAAAAATAAAATGTAAATGTGCAATGGGAATTACTAAGGATGAAAATTCTACTTCTATATTTAGAATGATTTTCAACACTAATGGTTTAAAAAAGATGATTGTAGTGGGTGAGCCTCACATTGATAGAAAATAATTCTTAATATAGCAGGAATTTCTATTTTCTTTAAACAATATATAATCAAACAGAAGAGACAAGGTTAATCAGAGATAATGGAAACTAGGAGAAAAACAAAAGGCATTTTGATGTGACATACACAAAGGGAGGTTGGATTAAACAAATCATTAATATATTCTGGTATGTATATTTTCTTAATTGGAATGGAGATTTCCTTAAATGGAAAGGAGCGATCTTGGGAAGTGGAGAGGTGAATAAGAATAAATAATTGAGGTAGAACTTCTATGTTTTCTGCTGTGAAACATTTATATTCAGCCTCTTTACATTTTTATTTTCAAATAAAGGTATGCCTATGTAAATATGGCTATCAGTGGGAATATCTGCTTGCTTGAACATACCTACAGGAAAGTAATTATCAGGAAGAACCTCAGTTATCACAGTACAATTTATGCTTACTGACTTTATGGTAGACTTTTTTTCTTTTAGTTGACAATAACCAATATTAGCTTATGGACTCACATTATTATCATTATTCTGTTACCGTTTAGAATAATACTATATTTTCATTTTATTTATTTTTATTTAGGTATAATTTACATAATATAATAGTTTGAGCTGTACAGTATAATAATTTAATATTTGTATCCATTGCACAATGACTAGTTAACATTTGTCATTATACAATTCCAAAAAATATTTCTGTTGCGATGAGGACTTTTAAGATCTACTCTCTTAGCAACTTTCAAATAGACAATATAGTACTATCAACTATAGTCACCATGCTGTGCATTATATTGCCATGACTTATTTGTTATATTTTCGAATCATAGCAAGTCATTTTGGATAATATGGTTACTTAATTGGATGATCTTATAGTAGCCCATTTTATTATTTATTTACAAGAGGCCCAATGCATGAAATTCATGCATGGGGGTAGGGGCTCTCAGCCCAGCCTGCACCCCCTCTAATCCAAGACCCCTTGGGGGATGTCTAACTGCCGGTCAGGCCCGATCCTCAAGATCGGCCTAAACCAGCAGTTAGACATCCCCTTCACAATTTGGGACTGCTGGCTCCTAACTGCTCACCTGCCTGCCTGCCTGATCACCCCTACTGGCCCCCTTCACGGGGCAGGGGGAGGTGTCTGCTCAATCCAACCTGCACCCTCTTCAATTTGGAACACTTCGGGGAATGTCTGACTGCAGGTTTAGGCCTGAACTGGCAGTCCCGTTACCCTGGTCTCCCCTAACCGCCCCCCGCCAGCCTGGTCACCCCTTATTGCCCCCCCCCTGCAGGCCTGGTCACCCCAAACTGCTCCCCTGCCAACCTGGTTGCCCATCACTGCCCCCCTCTGCTGGCCTGGTTGCCCTTAACTACAACCCCCTGCCGACCTGGTCACTTCCAACTGCCCCCTCTCTGCCGGCCTGGTTACCCCTCACAGCCTGCTGCTGTTCAGTCGTTTGGTC